TTTTATTCAATAAATGATCTTAGAAAATTGTATATCCGTATGCAAAAAAAAAAAAAATTAAACTAGACCCCGGCCTCTCACCAAAATCAGTCAGACTTAAATGAAAGGACTCAAAACTATGAAACTAACAGAAGAAAAGATAAGGAAAATGCTTCGGGGCATTGGAACAGACATGGGTTTTGTGAATAAGACCCCAAAAGCACCTGAGACAAAAATAAAAATTGAAAAATTGGATGACCTCAAACTAAAAAGCTTTTGCATAAAAAGAAAACCACCCTGAAGAACTGACCTGAAGAATGGAAGAAATATTTATCTAACAAGGAAAGAATCGAGGTCCAGAATATATAAGTAACTCAAACAATTTTTTTAAGAATCTGATTTTAACATGGGCAAATGACCTACACAGACATTTCTTAAAAGAAGATAAACAAGAGCTGAGATGTAGCTCAGTGGTCTAGCACGTGTGAGGCCCAGGGTTCAGTCAGAAGGAGGAGAAGGAGGAGGAGAAGAAATATAAATAGCCAGCAAGTTTATGGAAAAATTCTCAACATCACTAATTATCAGAGAAATGCAAATCAAAATCATAGTGACCATCCATCTCACCTCCATTAGAACAGCTGTCAAAAAAAGACAAAAATACTAAAGTAGGCAAGGATGCAAAGAAAAGGGAACTCTTGTACAGTATTGGTGAGACTATAAATCAGTACATCCATTATATGAAATGCTATAGAGGTTCCTCAAAAAACTAGAAATAAGCCTGACACAGCGATATATGTCTATAGTCCCACTTATTCAAGAGGCTGAGGCAGGAGGATTATTCAAAACCCAGGAGTTCCAGACTAACCTGGGCAACATAGCAAAACTCATCTCCAAAAAACAAAGCAAACAAACTAGAAATAGAACTGTCCTGTGATCCAGCAATCACTCTACTAGGTATATACACAAATGAAACAGAGTCAGTATGTCAAAGAAACATCTGCATTCACATGTTTATTGCATCACTGTTCACAACAGCCAAGGTGCAGAATCAACTAGGTGTTATGGTTTAGATATTAGGTGTCCCCCCGCCCAAATACTCATGTGTAAAACAATGCAAGAAAGTTTAGAGGAAAAATGATTAGGTTATGAGAATTTTAACCTAATCATCAAATTAATTCCCTGGTAGGAATTAACTGGGCGGTAACAACTGTAGACTGGTAGGGTGTGGCTGGAGAAGGTGGGTCCTTAGGGATATGTCTTTGGGGTATATATTTTGTCCCTGGAGAGTGGATCAATCCCTGCCCCTCACTCACTGTTACTCTCTCCCTCCGTCCCTCCCTCCTGGTTCCATGTCCTGAGMCACTTTTCCTCCATACTCTTTTGTTATGATATTCTGCCTCACTTTGGGCCCAGAGCAATGGTATCCGCTATCTATGAACTGAGACCTCTGAAACCACGAGCCTCAAAATAAATTTTTCCTCCTCTAATTGTTCTTGTCAGGTCTTTTAGCCACAGCAGTGAAAAAGCTGACCAAACCACTAAGTGTTCATCAACAGATGAATGGATAAAGAAAATAYAGTACATATACACAATGGAATATTATTCCGTTATAAAAGAATGAAATTCTGTCATCTGAAGCAACATGGGTGAAACTGGAGGACATTTTATTAAGTGAAATAAGTCAGGCACAGAAAGACAAATACCACGTGGTCTCCCTTAAGTGCAGAAGCGAGAAAGTTGATCTCATAGAAATAAAGAATAGAAGAGTGGTTTTCAGCACCTGGGAAGAACATGGGGGAGGGCAGGATGGAGAGAGAGATGGTTAATGTGTTCAGGTTGCCTAAGAGGAGAAATAACCTCTAATTTTCTACAGCACAGCAGGATAACTAGGGTTGACAGTAATTAATTATTTCAAAAGAGCTAGTAGAGACGATTTTGAATGTTCCTGAAACAAAGAAATGATAAGTATTTGAGGCAATGTTTATGTCAATAACCCTGATCTGCTCTTTACACCTTGTTTACGATACTGATATATAACGTTGTTAACGTTGTACCCCATAAATTTGCACAATCACTGTGTATCACTCAAAAATAAAGCTAYGTTTTTTAAAACATTCTTGGGAAGTTTATATCCACAGAAACATAGCCAACTTGAACTGAAGGGAGCAGAGAAAGGACAAAATGAAAGAGAGCTGATAACCGCCCCACCCCCCAAAATTCTGTCAGCAGGCAGCAGGCTGAAGAAACTACTGAGTGCATACCCATGCTGTCGTCATGCAAAAGGAACGATGTCTCCGAGGAATAAGCCACAAGCACACAAGACCAGGAGTTATTCCCAAGCCTTGAAACAGTGGAGTTTGCACTACGGAATTTCAAAATTGCTTGGCCCTGGTGACCCCTTTCTTCTTTCCATTTCCTCCCCTTTGAAACAGGAATGTCTATAACCGGTGTTCTACACCTGTCCTACCGTTGCCTTTTGGAAACAGATGAGCTATTTTCTAGTTTTGCAATCTAAAGAGGGGAGGGGAATTTTTCCCATAATGAGTTCCACACCTGACTTAAATTATTTAGATGATGAAATCTGGAACTTTTTTCAGCTGATGAGATTAGAGGAGATTTTAGATTTAGAGCTGGAGGACATTTTATTAAGTGAAATAAGTCAGGCTGTAATAATTAAACCTTTTGAAGGTATTGGGATGGAGTCAATGTATTTTGCAAGTGAGAAGACATGGAACTTTGGGGACCAGAGAGCAGACATTGTGGTAAGCAAAATAATGGCTCCCCCAAAGATGCCCATGAGCTAATCACCACGACCTGTGAATATGTCACTTCATATGATAAAAGGGGTCTTGCAGTTGTGATCAAATTACAGATCTTGAGATGAGGAAATTATTTTGGATGATCCAGGTGRGCCCAGTATAATCACAAGAGATAAGAATATAGGGAAAGGCCTCCCCAAACTCTAAAGCGAAGTTACTTTSCCCCCACAAAGAAGCTGAAAATCCCTCCCAGTTGTTGCAGCGTAGCAGACATCCCAGAAGCAGTTGCCAAATTAGAGAACACACAGATGACACAGCAGAGGGCCATCCTGGGGTCCCTACACTTGTGGAATAAATGTATAAGTGATAGATAGGCAGGGGCAAGTCTCTTATAAGGTAGACAAGRCCAGGGAAATTTTATTTCAAAAATTTTATTAATCACTTACTACTTTCCATGTGCAATAGTAGGCTCTGAGAACCTAGAATTATCTAGATCAGCAAGACCCCTGCCCTCCTGAAGCCAAATTTTCATAGCAGCCTTACTAGGATCAAGAATGGCATGAACACTCAACAGTGACAGAACAGACCTTGTACAATGCAAAGAGAAAAGTAACCAACTCTGTATTCTCTTAACCATACCCAGCTTAAATACTTCTCTCTTCACAAGAAAATTAACATATCTGTAGTCTTGTTACACGTCATTATACAATACATGCAGATTTGCAATATATCATTAACAAGCCTTAAGTTGTCTAACAGTGAATATGCAAATCTTGTTCCATAATGTTGGTTCAGTTATTCTAAAGAAATCCTTTTGTTATCTTCATAAAAGACCGAGTTAAACGAACCCTGCCAGGGATTTGCATAGATAAATATCCAATCCACCTCTCTACCATATCTGACCAGTTCATTTTTCTACTTAAAAGTCCTCACACCCACTGTGAGAGTAAAGTACAAAACCATTAATGTGGCCTACAGGCAGGGGTGATATTTACAACACTTAATAACAAGTACATAGCCTCCTACCTATCAGAATGCACACTGGCCATAAATCATCAGTCCACTCAAAACTGTGCATATCAGCAGAACATCCAATGTAACCTGGCCTGTGACTTCCTCGGCAATGACTTGCCACCATTCAGCCATGCTAGACCTCTTTCTCTTGGTCTCTTCCTTAAGACCTTCTTACATATTATTTCCTCTGCCGAGAATGTTCTGAGCCCCACCCCTTACTATACCAGGCTTTTTATTCATTTTTCAAGTCTCTGCTGACATGCCACTTTTTCAAGGTAGCCTTTCTCTGCCACCATCTACTACTCCAGTTAAATCAAATCTTCCTCTATTACTCTTTTTTGGCAGCCTAGCTATCACCTTCATTGTAAGTATAGGCGTTTTGATTCAATAATGACCTGTGCAGTGATTGTTTCCTTCATTATATCTTAGAGCAGGGGCTGCATCTATCTTACCTGCTCTAACTGGTAATCCTGCTATTAGCACATTGCCTAGTATGTAGAAGGAATTTCAAAATGATTCCTAGTGCTTATCAAGCATTTACTACGTATCAGAAATTGTAGTAATCACTTTAATAGACTATCTCCTTTAATCCTAGTAACAGCCCCATGAGGTAGCTATTACAAGGGTCTATTATTTTAGGTGAGGACACTGAGGCATGATCAAGCTACGTAATTGCCCAAAATCTTAAAGCAAATCAGAAGTAGGGCTGGAAGCTGAACCCCGGCAGTAGAGTGCCAAAGCCCATGCTTTTAAGAATCACACTGTACTGACTTTTCAAATACTTAAAAAAAWTTAATAAATTGTAATCAAGTTTATAGCTGGCAGAGCCAACTAAGCTGCACCCAAAGAGAATGCAACCATAAAACATCCTCTGTGCTCACAGTCTATCCATGATATGAGTGATATGGACATAGATATAAGTAAAGCCAGAGATGACAACTGGAGATATGCCCTGGGTGAAAAAAAAAATGCATGACTGGCCAACAGTTCTCAAGAGTTTTGCAAATTAATTCCCCTTTCGATCCCCACCAAAATCCCCAGAGAAACACTTCACTACCAAACCAAATATTTTACCACCACGCCCCCTAGTGCCTCCTCCCACTCTCAGAACACTGCATATCTATTTGAATACTCTTCAGGACAATTACACACAGAAAATAGCAAAGGCGATTCACACACCAGATGAGCACTCCCAGATCAGCCCTCCTTTCTGACCTCTGCCCCATACAAAGGAGGAAGTGCCCTTACCTTGAAATAAAAATGCTTTGCTAGCATTGTGCAGTCCAGACACCTGCGTGACTCCAAAGGTGGTATTCACAAGATCAAGTTCGGTGATAAAATCCATCTGAAGGTCAGGGTCCAGACCAAAGCCCACCACTGGAAAGGAACAAACAGCTGTTATGACTTAAAAGGCAAAAATATAGAGCAGAAAACATAGAGGCAGGGACTGGCAGGGAACACAGGGGAGCCAGTGAAGGATATTCCCTCTCCTGGAGACTTCCTCTCCCTAGAAAGCAAAGGAAAGCAATTGTGTCCTATCACCCCTCCTATGGTGCAGCTTCTTTGTACCTYTTCCCAGCCTCACTCCCCTCTGTAAATGGATAAGCCCCCATCCAAAATCCCTGAGGCTAAATATATTTTGGAATTCAGAATGTATCRTATGTTTGAAAGGTCCTACATACTACATACTACAAATATTATGTAAGTCTTTCAGCAAAGTTGGAATGGGCATTCCATAATCAAATTCTGTATTTTTGTATTGGAAAGCACAATATTTTCCTTTAATTGGCACAAAAACTATAAATAGCTTAATACAAGTTTAGTTCAAATTTTGCCACCAAATGAGTTCAACTCAGGACAGATTTTGCTAGCTGGTGAATTATATAGAAATTTGGGGATTTTTAAGCTTTTTTTAGATTTGCAGACTATAGATACTGCATTATGACCCTGATCTTCCTGCTTCAAGGAAGCTGCAAGAGCAAAATCTGATACAACCACCAACAGTAAACACTAGCACAGAGTGAGCCCTATTAACCAGACCCAACCACCTGCAATAAAGAGGAAGGAAATGGAGAGGGTCCCTGCCCCTGTTGGAAAAAAAAARGGGGGGGTGGTAGAGAGACTGACCAAAAAGGAGGATCCTTGGAAGAATAGATGTATATTTTTACCCAAGGGGATTTCTGGAAGTTAGATACCCTGACATCTCTTGTTGGAGAATCTAAGTGCAAAGAAACATGGCCCCAAATCTCCTCCCTTGTCTGAGAAAGGCGAATCCCCAAGGTTGTCTCTCCCAGGGAATGATTGTGAGGAATGATTCATTCATGATTGCAAAGTGATTTCCAATTATATATATTAATAAGGCTACAGATCACTCTAAGGGACTGTGTTTAAGCCATTCATAAAGGCTGTTTCTATCGACGCTTAGCATCTCAATAGTGCAATTCTGATTGCGCAGTTGGAAATGTTTTAATCAGCAACAGCTGTCAACTTTCCTCTGATGGTAATGCAGTCACCAAGGCAGGATTCGGAGAGCTTGCACCCAATTTGTCCCACAGAGGCTTAGTGAATATTCATCAGAACATCACGAGCCATCACGACTTCACCTGTCCCCCCTCCCACACCCCCCTCAAGACCTACAGATTCGGGGAAGGAAAACTACCCTCTCCTTCCTCTTTTCATTTTAGGAAGCAGGAACTGCTACAGCTCTCCAGTCTTCTGTCATCAGAAGGTTGGTCAGAAATGACTTTGGAGCTGCAACTTGTCATTGCCAAGGCAGAAAATTGGTTAAATTGAAAGTGTAGGACATATAATGGCCTCTCCGTTTTTGTCAGGCTTCCCTGGGTCTACCGAACTGATGGTGTAAGTTTCCTCCTTTGAAAGGCAGCCAGTTATGGGATCAGTTTACCCAAAGACAACTTTTTTTTTTTAAAGAGAGAGAGAGAGAGAAAGAGAGGATTTTTTAATATTTATTTTTTAGTTGTCGGCAAACACAACATCTTTGTTTGTATGCGGTGCTGAGGATCAAACCCAGGCCACACGCATGCCAGGCGAGCACGCTACCGCTTGAGCCACATCCCCAGCCCCCGAAAGACAACTCTTACTTGCACTGACTCTGCACTCATTCATTAACAATGTTTTCAAAGAGGCACTGCTAAGGACTTACTATGTACTATATATATTGCTAGGCACTGGATAGGTCCTCATGAAGCTTGCATTCCTAGTGGGGGAGGGAGACAAGAAATAAATAAATTTTTAAAAATAATAATTTGAGGTGATATCAATGCCAAGAAAAAAATAAAGAGTAACGGGATAGAAAGCAACTTGTGCAGGGAGCCCTACTTTAGATGAGGAGGTCAGGGAAGGTTCTTTTGAGCTAAAACCCAAATAACAAGAAGTAGCAAGATCTGCCCGGAAGGTTTTTCACAGGTAGAGTTCAGCAAATGCAAGCAAGGAACATATTTGGAGAGTTCAAGGAATGGAGAAGAATAGTGTGGCTGTGGCGGAATGTGCCAGGGGACGGTGGTAGAAAACAAGACCACAGGTAGGCAAGGGCCAGATCACATAGGTCCTGTCACCCACAACAAGGAGTTTGGATATTATTGTAATATCATTGGAGGGTTTTAACGTTTATGTTTAAGGAAAATTGAAGTTTCTACCTGCCCACTCTTGCTCATCCTACACACAGTCTCAGTTCACAAGTGCCTACTCTGTGCAAAGCAGAACTGAGATTGACCGTTTTCTGTCATCTCAAGTTACAACACCRTGAGCCTGTGGTTGAGACCTGTGATGTTTTTCTCCAAGTGAGCTCAGATGCTAGCAGTTCTGTGATCACCTTGAAAAGACAGGAAAGGAACTAATATTTCAGTTTGAGCTATAGTGTTCTACACCTATATGGCAGAAATTAAATCAAGAGTGATCTCAGAGGACCTCCAAGCTGGTCTTTCTCTGGCCAGGAATTTTGAAAATGGCCTGGGGAATGTGCCCTTAGCTGGATACAAAAGGAAGGAAGTATCCCTGTTGCTCCAGTGCCTTGCACCAGACCTGACATATTACAGGCTTTTAATTTAGGACTTGATTAATTATCTAATGTGTGGGTGCATGATCATTGCTTTGGGAGCAATGATCTCAGAGCAATATGCTTATCTGGGGACAACATGATAATACGGGATGGCATACAGGTCAGAGAAACTTTCAAAAGAGACTGTGGTTAACTGAATTATTGGCCCTCCCCTATCTATCCTCTGTGCTGTGTGACTTTGCAGTTTCTTCTAGTGAGAGTAAATCTCCCCATCCCTTGACTTCAAGCCCAGCCATTCAATCTGTCTTGGCCACTGGGATCTTGATGACACTACACAAGCAGAGGCTTAAATGTGCTTGCATGAAGGAACTACTTTCTTGTACTTCTGAATCTTTTTTTTATTATTTTTAGTTGTAGATGGACACAATACCTTTATTTTATTTATGTGGTGCTGAGGATGGAACCCAGTGCTCCACATATGCAAGGCAAGTGCTCTACCACTGAGCCACAACCCCAGCCCTGTATGTCTGAATCTTGATGAGAACATGGCTCTGCAGCCACACAGGTCAAAGAGGATGGAGACTTGAGAAGCAGACCAACTCTCAGATATGTGAACTAAAATAAATGCTTGTTGTTTTGGATGGCTTGCTAATAGCCAGTTTCTGTCCTATCTCTTCCCCCTACGAATTCTGTGCCCTTGGAAAAAATCACTTCCCAGAGCCTTAGTTTCCTCATTTGTAAAAAAGGAAAAAATAATACCTCCCCCCAACAACACCTGAACACTCCAGCTCAGGCTGCCACCTAGTTGGTATATAGCTGAGGTTGCTTCATCTGTCTTTCATACGACATAGTTTTCCAGACTTTCCCTGGTGCTCAACTCCATTAAAATAATGTAAAAGCTACATAAGGCCTTTCTCCAAGCTGATAACTGTTTTGCTCTTTTTTGTGAAAACACCCCATAAAAACAGAACAAGAGAAAATAAATCAATTAGGCTTCTGGATATAGTTTTCTTCTTTCCCTTTAATTGCTACCTTTCAGGATRGAAATGCCCAGTGCCAATAGCAGGATGTGTAAGGGATAGCACTTTGCACACTGCCTAGGGAATCAGAAAACCTATTAATAAGGCAGCATTTACATGACCTCTCCAGACCTTTTGGAGTGTGAGTGTTGGTTCCATTCAATTTTTTTTTATTTTAATGTTTCTGTTTCTTGTCCAAGCATGGAGTTCCTGCCCTTTCCTAGGGAAACCCTATTAAAATTTTCGACTTTTGACATAAAGTCTCTACAAATGGCTGAAGCTGGGAATTAGAATTAAGCAGGATAAAAAGCTCCTGGGGAAAAGATATTTTAAAAAGCTGGAAGGCAGCATGTCAAAGTCACAGAGGCACTTGAGGCCTGGCGCTGGGATTCAGAAACTTCACCTTAGCCAGGACACCTGCTGCTGTTAGTCACTCCTTAGCCCTGCCCAAGGAGTGCTGGAGGCCAAAGCCCACTTAGTCCATCTTTGATGTCTAAGACCTAGGCTCCCAGGCAAATCCCCTGGGTCTGGCTCACTTCAAATCTAATCTGGCTCATTGCCCATGGTGGCAGCTGTCTCCCTGGTCCATGCAGAGTAAAATGATGCTGAAAAGATGCTCTAAGACCTCATTTACCAGCAGGATTTCACAACCACTTGATCGGTTCTTAATACCCCAAAAGCATTTTTCTCAAAGAATATGCTTTATGCTTGTTCCAAGTTGGCTGATATTTTACATGATCACTGAAGGCTGGGGGCACATAGTCACTGGTCCATTACTCAATTCATAATTAATGAAACACCTGGGAATTGCTTCAAAAAGAAAATCTCTCCTTTCCAGCAGGTGGCAGCAAAAGGCATTCAGAAGGCACCTAAAGGCGTTGGTGTTTCAGGTATTTCCTTTACCCCCTTCCCTGCAGACCAAAACAAACTGGAAATCAGTGGCAGAATAATCATTGAGCTCATATTATACTTCTAGGCCACTGGAGAAGATTCATGGACGTGGTGTGCTATTACTGCTATTACTGTAGGCTTCTAAATTTTCATTATTAATGATTACCCRGAAATCCCAGATTCTCACCCAGAAATAAGAACAAGAACTGGAGAACAGCATCTTCTATCTTAACTAACTCGACTTTGCACCCTAAAACAAGTTCTCTGAACGAAAGCAGCGTAAGCAGCTTCCTTAGGACACCTATCATTAGATCTTTTCATATGTAACTGCTTCTGCACTGCAGTCTTGCTTTAATTAAAATGTGCCTGATATCATCTATTCATTTCCATTAAAAGGMGGTGATATCTGAGCAGCTCACTAAGTGAACCACATGTTTATTTCATCTAGGACTGTTAACAGCTCAGACAACAATTGTCTCACTTGACAAATAAACTTCCCAAGCAGCTGTTTGGGTCCTGATAAACTCATCACCAGCCATCCTCTGCTACCTAAAGAAGAGGATGGACGTCTGATGTGGGAATGGGGATTTCTGGAAAAAATCAAAGAGATTGTCCCCAGAAAGCTACTCCCTTAAGCTACAAGAAATTCTAAGTGTAGGAATTAAATCCCCCCCATATCTGATTCTTCTGACAATTTTTGAAGGAGAAATAGGTGCCTTCTGGTGTGTAAGCAGTACCAAGTGGCACTGAAAACCCAAGCTCCCAGTCTTGAGCCACAACCAGTGGGGTCAGATCCACCCATGTTCTTAGTCCTTGCACAAGCTTTTCCCTCTGCCAGGGATGCTTTCCCACTTCATCCCTTCAGAGTTTACAAGATACAACTCTCAAATGTCACCTTCCAAGTACAGCCTTCCCTGATACCACCACCTTTCCAGAATTAATTCACAAACTCCCTCCTCTGTATTTCCTTAATACAAACTTCTTTAACCCCACCTCCCACCATCCCATCAACTATAGAATACAAAATGCTTTCCATTTTCTATCTAGATTCTCAGCTAATCTGTAAGTTCTCGGTAATGAAGAACTAAGTCATTTTCCCTTAAGTTACTGGGCACCTAGCAAGAATGAAAAAATAAATGAATGAATGAATCTTCCTTCACAACCAAATATGTATAAGATTTAAAGGGAAATGGGATTGAGCAGGAGAATAAGACCATGTTCTTAAAGACTTCCTCCACAAGCAATGAACACTGGAAACAGAATCCACTCCTGGGTATGCATACTTTTTGGCAACTTTTCAAAGGAGTSATGTGAACAAAGGATTTAGACAGATTCCACATGACTTGGTGATATGCACTTAAGAGTGTAAACTGACCCATGGGATGCCTCTCCCTCATCTAGTGTCTCCTTGTCTTCCACTCCTCTGTAAGATGCTCACCAGCCTCAGAYTCCATACCCCTGATGGGGAGCCCAAACTCTGCCCTAACCTCATCTTTCTGGGACCTGGTCCCTTCCAGAGCATTCTTGGTTGTAAAAGGCTAACCCATCCCAACAACGCCTGAATTCAAGAAGCAACTATTCTAGATTTAAAACAATCTTGACCTCTCCGCAGTCAGGGAAACTCCGATAAAGAAAAGCATGATGGTTCTTTTGTCCCTGGAGAAATCTCTCCTTGACGCTCTTCAATTAAGCAAAGGTAAGCGGCTTAATCCTGTGGAGATGGTAAGGGCCAGCTCAAAGCTCCTAGATGCCCAACTCTTGTATTTCCAAGGACTACTTGCCAYAGAGGGGAGCCTGGGGCTCAAGTAGAGGGAACTTTTGAGCCAACCAGGGGCCAGCACCCCTCAGCACTCTCCGAATGAAGTTGCTCCCTGTCCTGGGAAGGAGGCTATACTTCCTGAGAAGAGGCATGGGAATGGTAAAGGGGTGAAGATAAAGGGAGAGGAAATGACCACATGTCCACTCTGGGGTTCAAAGACAGTGGGCAACGTGTACTGAGGATGGCTGGCTTAGAACTGAAAATCCCCAACACTCCCTAATCCGCAGGCCCTAATTTTACCAATTTCCACCACCACCCCCCAACCTCATTCCCACTCCATGTCTCCCAGCATCTGCTACTAGTTTCTCGAAGTAGAAGGCTATGTCCAGTCTCGGAACCCCAGGGGACTTGGGAACGCAAGGAAGCGGTGCGCTTAGAGTCCTTACAACTGCGTCTCCGGGGGCAGAAAGAAGTGGGGACTTGAGACAATCAGCCAGTTGCTCCCCACCCCACAACCTTCGATTATATCAAGGGAAAACTGATTTGAGAAAATCTCCTAGGATTGTCTCCACTGCTCCAATTTCAGAAATAATTGTTCGCCCAGCCCTTGGGGAGGGAGGCAGGTGGAGGACAATACTACTGGAGTTCCCCGGGGAAAGTCAGGAAAGGATAAAATGAGATCCGCCGGATCCCGGGCTCCCCCGCAGCCCTTTCCCAAGCTGCGCCTCACCCTCCCCGGCCCGGGCCGCGCCCGCCGGCTGGAAGCGCTCCCTCTGCGGGTGCAAGTCCTGCGGTTGCCGGTTTCTCGCCGGCGGGTCTCCAGGAGAGCTGTTTCCACAGCGCCTTTCAAGTTCGGGGATGTGAGACCCGCCCTCCTGCGGGTTTCGYCTCCCCAGAACCTAGAAGCGGGCTACTAACAGCAAAAGGGTGCGACAGCTCGGCCGCGCCCCTCACTCCTGAGAACCCGCTGCCTCGACCCCCGGGAAGGGGACACTCAACTGGGGTGCCTAGTAGCCCTTGAGTCCGGTTTCCTGCCCTTTCACCCCAAGCCGGGCAGAGAGATCTAAGGTACCAATCCACCCTTCTACCCTTCTCCGGACCAGCGCGGAGCTCGGCTCCAGGTCTCCCACGCCAGTGTGGACGCTAGGCACAGCAGCGGCGCCCCTTTTTCCGCGTATCCCTCCACCCGCCCCAGCCTTGCTTACCTGTCCTGGCAGTGCACACACAGAACCATAAAACTAAAATCACATCCATCGGCATTGCTCGCGAGGGTCCCCGCCAAGCAGGGCGCACCGAAGCCAGGAAGAAACAAATGCACCTAGAGATCCCGAGACGCGCCGGGCTCGGAGCCGCCAAACTTGCTAGCGGGCGGCAGGGGAGGTAGCTCGGCAGCGCCGGGTGCTGCGCTAGGGGATCGCGCCCGGGATGGCAGTCCCGGCCGCCCCGCCCCCAGTCGGCCCCCCCACCGWGGGCGGTGGTGGCGCGGGGCTCGGGCCCCGGCCCCCGCTGCGGCTGCGCTCGCCTTAGGAGCTGGGGCGGGAGCGCAGGGCTTAGCCACTCCGGCAGGTTGCCCTCRAAGCGGGGCTGATCCAGTTCTCTTCCTTCGCCTATGGAGAAGCGAAGATCCGGGAAGCAGGCGCGGCTGCAGCTGCCACCCAAAGCACCGGAGCGGGAGAGTCCCGGGACCCGCGGCCGTAAGGGAGGAGCTGGAGGCGCAAGGCTTCACGCGCTCCACTCCCTCCGAGCTACCCTCGCCACTGTCGCCGCCTCTGCCTTGGCGTGGCCGTGGGAGCTGCTGAAGTTGCCACAGTTCATCCCGGCCGAGTCGAAAAGCCGCTGAGCCCTCGTGGATGGGTTTTTGTCCTCGGGGAACCCAGACCGAGGCGGCGCCACCGAGCGTGCCCAGCACCTCCTCGGAAAACAATTACTCGGGATTTGCTCTGGCAACTGGGTGGGGAGCGGCGGATGGGGACCTGAAGGAGATGATGGCTGAGACCCTGCTCACCACCTGTACCTCTATCTCTTCYCGTTAGGCGGAACCTTATAACTGGGTGTACGCTTTTGGGGTGCAGGAAGAGAGAACTGAGGAGGAAGGTACAGGGAAAAGGGATCCCTAAAGAGATTAGGGTTGAGGTTTGGGGAGTCTATTTGCAAACCTTGTTCTGCAGGGCAAATGCTGCCACATAGGGGAAATTCTCAACCATTTTTTTTTCCCTTGCGTGACTTTCTTGATGGTTTTGTCAAAAACCCAGTCTCATTTACTAGTAATATTTTGGCCTCTCCTGCAGTTCCTCGGGGAACACCTCTACCCCCCTACACACACACACACACACACACACACACACACACACACACACACACACACCATTCTCTGAAGATAAAATGCTACCCCTTGGAGAGGGAACCTTCCCGATGAGAATTTCCAGGTTGGAGATCTCTGTCCCATTTCTTATTTGTCCCACTTCTACCCAGGAATGTTATTTATACCTGGAGTGTGGAGTCGTGAAATCGGGAAATGACAGAACCTCTGATTTATAACAAATGAGCTCTACATGATTTAAGCTCCCCAACTTGGTCAACTCTACCTCCAAGCCCCTGCCCCTCAACACTACCCTTGCAACACCCAAAAGAAAAATCCCAGAGGAGAAAAAGAAAACTCCCAATAACCCTCCCTCATTTCCTAGGAAMCAATTCAGAATCCTCTTCAAGAATAAGGACTTGCCTTTCTCACTTTTTGCCCACCCTCTCACTTCGGATATCCTTAAACCCCAGACACCTTTGACCCAGGGAGCCCCAATAATGGTCACCAAATTAGCAGTACATCTTACTAAGAGAGAAGATCTTACCCACATGCTTGTCTGGTTTCTGCCCTATTTTCCGGATATTTCTGCTTGCAAGCCACTGTCCCACTTGGCCCTGTATATTATGGTCCCTTGGCAGATGAAAAAGAACGTGAACAAACAGGTAAATTCTTGCTCAAGAACTATACTACTCAATCCAGAAGCTGAATAGGAAGATTAAGAGGTAAACTGACTCTYGATTCAGCTGACTCTTCAACTTCACAACAATTCAGCTTGGCCCAGAGGGTTCCTCTCTGCCTCCATGCTGGGTCTTCATCAGACTCAAGATTTTTTCCTTCTGCTTGGAACAGGTTATATTTAAGCTAACTTAAAATCACACACTTTGCAGAAAATAGGATCTCCCAAGCCTAGCTGGGCCTTGTGAGCAAGGACACCATACCCCCTGTGTTTTCAGAGCCAGGTTCCCTCTCTGCACCTCATCATCCCTTGTGGCTTTGGACCACTCTTCTCAAGGTTCATTTCTTCTCAGAAATCCCAGATTCCCTAAAAGCTGCAGTGATTCCAGCAAGGGGAAAAGGCTGGTCTGGGTAGGTCTTTTAGAGCTCTGTACCTCCAAGTCTCTATGTAGTTAGCTGGTCCTGTGGGGTGGGGCTTTTGCTCTTTCCATTAAAAAATAAAGTGAGACATATGTTCTGTCATAGCTTTGCAGCATCACATTCATTAACTAGAGTTAATCTCAACAAGGTCATAAATCTTTCCTAGATAACTAATATTTCAATCTGCTTCCAAAAGTGTATTTCTGAGTAGGGATTTTGGATGTATAAACCCATTAGGCTWAGAAAACCATCACAGAGTAGGCCCATAAAATGTCGATGGAGGGACCACATGGCTATGTATGATAGGATGTCACACTGGGACCTGTCTCAGTGCAGACAGCAGCAAGAGATGTCTTACCAAATGTCATRTCCCAGTATACCTTCCCCTTGACCATGACCTAGCTCCCTGGTTTCTCCAGGAACTGGTAGCTTCATTTGATCATCTCTCCACTGCTTCTTCTTCACCCCTAAATATTGGGGAGTTCTGGGGCTCAGTCCTCAGTTTTCTCTTCCGGAGAAATATACTCACTCCCTGTGATTTTTATCCAGATTCWTGGAATTGAATATCTAAAATTGAATGACTCTCAAATGTGTATTTCCAACCCCAGTCTCTCCTTTGAATCCTAGGCTTACATGCCCAACTACTTACTAGGCAACTTAAGTATAACATTGAAACATATCACAATTAAAACATATTTCAAATGATACCCATTAGGGAAATAAAAAGATAACCTGAAGAATGAGAAACAGTTTTTGCATCTGATTGGGACTTTTAGCTACTAAAAACCTATTATAACTAAATAATAAAAGTTCCAGTTTGAAAATRGGCATAGGGTATAAATAGACACTTCTCCAGAGAAGATGTACAAGTGACCAGAAAACTGATGAAAAGATGATCAGCATCCTTATCCATCTGGAAAATGCAAATTAAAATCACTATGAGATATTGCTTTGCACATACTAAAACGRCTAGAATCAAGAAGACTGATAAGCATTTGGAAAAGATATGGAGGAATTTCTACTAGTGAAAATGTAGAAGAACCATAATGTCAAATGGTTCTTCAAACAGTTAAACATTGTCATCTGATTCAACAATTCTATTYCTAAATATTTACATWGGAGAAATGAATACATATGTTCACATGCTAACATACACAAATATTTATGGYATAATTCAAAATAGCCAAAAAGTAGAAACAAYCAAAATATTCATCTGATGTTGGATAAATAAATGTAGTATATCTTTACCATGAAATATTATTCAACAACAAAGAGAAATTAAGTACTGATACCCAGTGGAACATAGATAAGCCTTGAAAACATTTTGCTAATTGAAAGAAGCCAGCAACAAAGAACCATATATTCTCTGATTCCATGTCCATAATGTGCAGAAAGGCAAATCTATAGATGATAAAAGTTAATTAATAGTTACCTAGAGCTGGTGGGGAAGATTAGGGGGAGACAGCTGTGGTGTGTGAGGATGATTTGGGGGATCATGAAAATGTTCTAAAGTTGCTTGTGTTAAAYAGTATGAAACACTCACAGACCCATTATATTGCAAGCTACTGAACTGTRTACTTTCAATGGGTGAATTGTATGGGATATGGATTATACCTCAATAAAGCTGATYGCTTCTTTAGTGATCATGACAAACAGCAAAAGATTGTAATTCGGTTAAGCAGGACTTTTGATTTTTACCTCGCTCCCTGACAACTTCTAAGGGGATGGCATCAGAATTTACCAAGTGATCCAACCAAATAACCCATGGTTATCCTTAACTCACTTCCTTATGTCCTACATCAAAGCCAGTATACCTTAAAGACAAAGTCCAAGGCAATCACTTCTCGCCATCCCCACTGTTCCCATTTTCCTCTAACCCATCATCATCTCTTCCTTGAGCTACACCCACAGAGTCTTCTTGTTGCCTCCATTCTTGCCCCCTATAATTCAGTCACCCTCCAGCTGTCATGATCTGCTTTTATAAACATGTATCAAATTATATTCCTTGCCCAAAAATCCCCCTGCAATCATCATATGTTGGAAAAATCCTAATAGTTTACAAGACCCTTGCCTACCTCCCTGGATTTCTCTTTCCCCTTTCTCCCCCTTGCTCACTCCAGGGGGGCTTTCTTGCTGTTCCTCAAACATACCAAGTTCATACCTTCCTCACTGTCTTTGAGCCTGCTGTTCTCTCTACCTGGAGTGTTCYTTCCATAAATCTTTGCATGGTTCCCTCTTAATTGTGACTCAAATCTCTGCTCARATGCAAACTCCTCAGGGAGACCCTACCTACAGAAGGGTYTCACTTCAYTTCCAATACTCTGCTTTAGTTTTTRCTGTGCTTCCTATTATCTGAAATGATTTATCTGGATACTTAGATATTCTCTGTCTCCYCCAGTATAATGCAAGCTCTTTTCTTTCTTGTTCACCACAATGTCTTTCCACCTAAGGCTGTGCCCAGCACATTTTAGCATCTCGATGATTGTTTGTTGAATGAATGAAGCAATGGATGCTCTGGTAGGAAGCAACCTGGAGAACTGACTCTTCTCATTGGCTGTCACCAAGGCAACAGCCAGACTGCCTAGTCCCACTGGCCCCCAGAGCTGCTCCATTGCTGACACTATGTGGGGCAGCAGATCCCACAGAGGAAGAATGAGAAGGATTCCTTTTTACTATCCAAACAAAATCCATAAACTCGATAAGTTCGAGCCTGAGAAACTACCCATCTCATTTTCTGCTCACCCAACTCCTCTTCCTCAGTGACTCTCCTTTGTCTGGCCYTACAGCTCCCTTTATATTAAGGACMTATAACAAGTTTCCTTATAAAATAGGCAAAAGTGAAAGGGTGGTGCTGGATTGTGCCTCCCACCCTGTCCCAAAAGATATACTGATGTCCCAACTGCTGGCACCTGTGAATGTGACCTTATCTGCAAATTGAATCTTTGTMGCTCTCCTGAAGTTAAGACAAGGTCATGAGGGTTGGCCCCAATCCAAAAATGACTGATGTCCTGAGGAGAAGAGGAAAATTCCATG